TTTACCAGACCGATGCCTTTGCTGGGATTAGGTACCAGCAAACTCATTAATCCTGTAGGGATTGATACATGGCAAGTCTTTTTATGCTGGCAAGAACACATCCAACCCGTTCAGTAAGATGCAATGGCTTTTAGTTATACTTGATTAGAAGCAAAACTCTAAACCTTTCTGCTTTACATCAGAAACCAGTAACAAATCTTTATTTTTTCCTTTTTTCCTCTCATTTTAAGCATCACGTCTTATTGAAGTTTAGCTGGTTTGAGGTTAGAGACATAGCACAAAGGATGTAGCTCAACTCCTTCAGAGCAACTGCACTTCAACATCTCTCTACAAGTATTTATCATATGTACCTACGCACACAAAGCATTTAGCCTTGAGACAGCTCTCTCCTGTGAGAGGGGAAACATTACATTCCCTGAGCTCAATGCTGTTGCTGGTGCAGTTTGTCTTTTCTCCTCCCTCAATCAACTTTATCTTGCCTGCAATATAAAACCATAGGTTGTCAGAGGAAATGCTTGCTGTTGTTTTCTATGTTACAGTAAGACTCTGAAAAATCATCATTAATCTAATTCATGGAAATGAAAAGTATCGTAGGCCAGGAGGACACAATCAGTCCGGATTCTTGGGAAATGCAAAGGAAAAGTCAGGAAGGGAACGTGAACCACAGCTCCTGATTGCTGTGAAGTCCAAATGATGGACTGCTGACCAAGGCTGGCTCAGCTAGTGCAGCTGCAGCCACCCCCTTTGACCTTTGCAGAACTACACCCCCTTGTAGCAGGCTGAGCCGTGTGTGTGATGGGGTCCTTTCTGGCAGGTAGTCTCCTGCTCTGTTGGGAGACAATACACTGAGGTGGTCATTTCCCTTGCCCTTAGCTTGAATCGCTTGCTTGAGAATGCTTATGCTGCAAAAAAGGCCTGCAGTCAGTTCACCTGGAGCTGCAGAAGCATAGGGTGAGTGGTATGAGAGCACGCAACTCAGATTAATGTTTCGTCAAAAAATAAATGCAATAACCCCTCACTTTTAGCACATTCTGAAGTTGGACAGGGTATTTAGACAGTTTCGTCACTCTTTGTATACAAACATACAGTTGGTTTCATCCCTCTGAGTCCAGTCTCCTGATAGAAATCACATACCGGAGCAGGTTTATCCTTCAGGTCTGCAGCCTCTGGGTGTCAACCCATGAGCTTTTTCATCTGACTTTTCTCCCTTTGTCCCTCGAAGAAGGAGTGAGAGGAGCAGCTGAGTGGTGTCTGGAAGCTGGCCAAGGTCCACCCTCTATGACAGGCTCTAAAAGTCACTCTTGAGTTATTCCCCATCTGCCAGACCTCCCCTGCATGCCCATAGCATCTCTTGGGGCTGTTAAATGGGGAGTGTCCGGTGGTTTTCCAGCTCACAGGCGGAATATGCTTTTCTGCAGTTCCAGCAGAACCTGGGAGCCCAACTCCCACTGAAACCCAATTGATTTGAGGCCTTTGAGTCACTTCAATCCTTTTGGAAAGCTGCTCTATAGCCAAAAGCTAATGTTACAGTTTAGGAGGACCAGAAATGGAACCCCACCCTTTACAGTCTTTCTTTCATTTGTCCTTTCCCATTAAGAGTTGAAGAATGGATGCATCTGAACACCAAGAACAATGAAGATCAGAGCCAGCAGACAGCATCCCTTGGGAAATCCTCTTCTTTCTCACTGTAGTGCTTCAAATGGCCATGAGGAAGCATCGACAGGTAGGGCAGAATTTGCCATATAGTAGTGCTGGCACATGCAGTGGTGCCTGCTGCTTGCATATGGTGGAAAAATCATGATGTGTCTCCAATTCCTACGGGCAAAGAAGATGCTGTAAATAGCATGGCCAAGTTTCAAGCTCTCACAGTACAGTGGGAAGCAATCCAGCCTTTTCTGGTGTCAGGAAGGAGAGCAAAAACGCATTTTATGCATCCTAGGGGGATAAGAGAAGCAAAGATGTCCCAGCTGGAGTTGTTAGCTCTGGGAGGGGCAGCCATTTGGCTCTCATTAAAAGTGGCAACATCTGAAGTACAATAGTTCCCTCTTGGATCTTGGTGAACGTGCACTGGTGGGCTCTGTCTTCCACCCTGGGAAGGACTGTTGCCACGCCAAAGTCTGTTTCAGGTCTGTGCCTTAGGGCACAGCTTACTGGTTAAACAGAATATGCGGGCAGCATCCCAAACCTCAAGTAGTTCCTCTGTCCAAAGCTTGTGCCATTCCCTATAGGCTTTTCACTTATCCAGGCTTCCCCCAGTCCTTGTCCTGACTCATGGACTGTGTTCTCCTCTCCCTGTTGCTGATGGTCCATCTGGGAGTCACCTAATAGCTTCTAGGCACAGGACATCTTTTCTGCTCCTTTGCCAAACTCTTTGCCCTTTCAAGGCCCTAATTGCGGAGCCTAAAGGGTGTTTAAGTGCCTCATTCCCACTTAATTCGATTTGGACTGTTACCTCACATGTCATCCTGCAGCTGAAGTTACAGGTAGGAATGATCCCTGTTTCCCTCAAAGAAACCAGTAATCCTGTGTCAGGACAGCATATATACATATTTATATATGTATATATTTATATAGAGCTGAGCTTGTCTGGAGGTACAGGCATTGCAGCTTTGGCATACATTGGTCCATACAGTTTTCCCTCACAGGAGGGAATAACTCTGTGGACTTGAATGCTCCGCATGGTTTTTCTTTCAGGAAGGAAACTGGAAGTAGAGTGTTTTCCATTTGGACACAGGGCTCGTCTGAAAGCTAGGCCAACGCTGTGCTAAATAAATCGGCGTGCCAACCGCTTATGGGTAATTAGGCATGAAGGGAATCGGCAGTCTGCTCCCTCCGGTGTGACTCACAGACGGCATATTTGCAATGTGCCTTTTGCTTCCAGGGCTTCAGCGCTGTGGTACTCACAAGGAAAATGGATCCCGAGCTTACAGCAGCCTTGAGGTACTCAGTAGCTCTATCACTAGGAGTACAGGGAGGAGATGTGGGGTGACAGTGTGGGGTTACGGCTTCAGTATCTGTCCATACAGCCAGGGAGGCTGAAACACTTGTTTGCTTTGAAGGCAGCTGTGGTGTTCATGTCTTACTATTTCGCTAGCAAGTTACCATCCCAGAGCCATGCCAAGGTGATGACGCACACACACATGCTCCTGAGGTGCACCAGTGCTGTGTCCTTTGGTTTGGCCCCTACTTCTGGTGGCAGTTCAAGCTTCTGGATGCCACGTCAAAGGATGCGCATCCCCTGCTCATCCAGCTGTGCTGCAGAAATGGTAATGAGCAACTGAGGGAGATACGGGCGTCTAAAATCACCACAACTGTTTGCTAAAGGAACATGGCTTCACCAGTTCAGAGCTTTAGGGTAATTCCTTTTAGTTATGAATAAGATGTGCTACCCACTTGCTTTCAATGTCTCAGGCTCAACGAACACCTAATAGGTTTAGCTCATGGCACAGCCAACAAAAGTGTCTGAAAGATGGTGCAGAGATGGCCCAGAGATAAAATTCCAGTTTATCTGCCTCTTAGGAGCATTCCTGACTAAAGGAAAGCTTTGGGATATGAAGTGGAAATGTACCAAAGTCTTTTGGTTAGTGCATTTGGGTTCAATTAGCCTAACATGGCTGCTTCTCCAAACTGCAAGAAACTTTCTCTGGGGATTTCCAAAATCTCTTCAAGTTCAGGATGCTGCAAATAACAGCACGGCTTGTTTTTGTCATGCACTTTTGAGGCTTTTCCTTTTATGATCTTGAACGAAACCAGGAAGAGCAGGGATGTGTGAGCAATAAACTACTGGAAAAAAACCCCAAACCAAAACCACACCAAAACCCCAAACCCACTTGGTTGCACTTCGGAGCAAAGGACCCACAGTGCTTCTGAAACCTATCCACATGAATGCAGTCCCAATGTGCACTATTAAAGTTTGCAACCTAAACTGGGTATATATTCTAAAGGTCTGGGTCGTTTGGAATCCAGAGATTTAATCTCTGTCATGGTCTGTCCTGTTCAAATCGGGACTCACAGCCTTGTGAAGTCTGGAGTTACTCAGACGCAGAGGTCACGATCGAGTTGTAACCTATTTTACAATGCAGAGCAATATTCATTATCTTAGAGGTCTTAGAGCGATAATGGTCCATTCAGTTGTAATTCTGCTTAGTGCTCCTTCCTCTGACAACGTTATGGCTTTTGTTATTTCATTATAATTCTTACAACACTTGGTGTTTTTATGAAGGCAGTGACACAGCAGCCGGGGCCAGCATAGGCTTCATTACAAAAAGGCTAAATTTCTAAGTCCTATTACGGAGGAGAATTGAGATGTGAGAGCTAAATGTAACCTCAAGGAAAAAATTGGAAAGCAGCTGAAAAGCTCGAAATATAATGGAAAGCTTTAAAAATAACACATGCAATTTTGTAGAATTGCTTTTCTTCAGCAGCTCCTGTGAAGTCGGGGGGGGGGGGGGATCTGCTGGAACACTCAGACGCAGCAATAGAGTAAATTGCAAATTGAAGTGCCAAAACCAGTCCGTCCTGTACAGGTCACTGAAGTAGACGCAGCTCTTGCCTGAAAGCATTTGTAATCTAAAACCCCAGCGCTATTCCCATTGAAGGTAATGACAAAACTCTCTGTGATTGCAAACGGAACAGGATTAGGCCCTAAGTAAATAAAAGGCACCTCTTTTTTTTGGTCACCAGATACTCCTTACCTATGACAAATTCAAATCACTGTTGTTCAGGAATCTAGTGACCTAATTTTATCCGAAAAACTTCTTTCTGCAGCGTTCTTTCCTCACTTTCAAGCAGGTTTGGAAAGACAAGATTTGAAAGAGAATTCCCATCTGTTATTGAAGCATTTAATCATTCTTTAAAAGCCAGTGCAGTTTTATTTTCTCTGGGGAGTGAGCAGCATTAGCTGAAGCATAAAGCAAACTATACCAAGTGTAGAAAAAACTCACCCTGATGTCCTGTTTGACAAACTGACCTGCGGGTCACAACCTGAGTTTATTGATCTGTGGGGCCTTGTCTGGGTGTCGGGCATGCTTTCTGGACTTTGGTTACAGCCGCATTCCTGACTTCTGAAGAGTAGGGGGTGTGGATTTCTGCTAGGAGTAACCACTGGGAAGGAAGTAATGTTCATTAAGTGTGCAGGCAGTGCAGGACTAAGCATGCTCAGTGAAAAAGCTTTTCTCCTTTGCCTGTCAAGCCCTATGTTTGAACTCATTCCAGAATGCCGGATTTACTTTTCATGAAGAAACAGTACCTGGCTGGAGTGCATTTTTCTTTCCCTCCTTAGTCACCGGAAGATTGGAAACACTGTTCTTTTGATGATCACTCTCAGTAATGCAGTGCGCCTGCATGCAAGTGCGAATCTTGCAGTGGAGAAGGAAGACAAACTTTGCTACCTGTGAAATGAAGACTTCTTAGGTCAGTAAAGGGGTGCAGAGAAACTAACTTTCCCAGCAGCTTTTGACTTTGAACTAATGCTTTTGGTTCCTGCTCCCCTGTATCCCCTTCCCATCTTCAGCAGCGCTGAACTTTGCCAGAGTTTAGCAGCTTTCTGATTGTTCAGCCTCTCTGCTAAAGGTAAACTTGGTCGAAGTGAAAGCGTGATGAGGTTTGTGGGGACCTGAGCTTAGTTTGTGAAAACCTGAGCTGCTGCTTAGCAGAGAGGTTCGTTCTCTTTCCTTTCCCTTTTCTTTCTTCTTTTTCAGTGGTTCCTATAAATGCAATCCTTTGCTTCCAGCGTGCGTGTATGTGCTTTAAAAGACTGTTCCCGCTTCTCTCCCCGCCCTCTCCCTTAGAGCTGAAAATGAGACTCGTTCTTGAATAATAAACTCTGTATGTTATCAAGCAAAATCTTGTGGCTTGTTCATGTGATCTTTTCCAGCCTCAGCAGAGATGGTTTGCCTTTTAATACATTCGCAGTTCTGTCTGGAAAATGAATTGCAAAACTGTGAGAGGGGTGAGAGAAAGCAATTTTTACTTGATAACAGCATGGTTTAATGTAGCAGACTATTGCGCTTTTAACTTTGTAAGTGCTCTCTACTTTTTGGGTTTGAAAGGCATATTTCGAACTCCTGTCTCTTGAGGCTTTGAAATATTCCCAGCCTTAGAAATGGGGGGGGGGGGGAATAACTTTTTCTTGTGACTTAGTGCTGCCTAAAGAAGATTTTTCTGAACATAGGCCAAATGGTCAAGAAACAAAGTGACCACTGAATAAGAAGTGAAATGGACTCAAATCATTAGAAACTGTCTGTAGTTAATGATTATTTGAAGTAGGCCAGCAGCATTTGGCAGTTTCTGGTGGTAAATTTTGTCCTGTGCTCTTCAGAATGGTTCTCCTGCTTATCAAAAGTTAGCATTTAATCCTGTAAGTGTGAAGTCTATATGCAGCTTTCAGTATTTGAATTCTATGTGTGTTACAAACTTGAGATAACCAAAGATAAAGCTATACATGCAGATGTATCAGTTTGGTGTGTTGAAAAGCTCTGTATTTCTTATTTGGTTATTCTAAACTGGAAGTTGATTTCCCATGCAAAGAATAAAGGGCATCAGGTTAGTTATGACGCATACTCCTCGTTTCAGGATTAGAAGTGCATATCTTCTCAGACTACAATAGGTTCTGCTGCTGCTGCTCACCGCTCTGCAAAAGAAAGCTCAGCATCTCTTTGCAAAGGGTGAGAACAGAGCAAAAGTGACTGGGTTACACTGGGTCTCTCGTCTGATTCCCACCGGGATTACCTGCGGCGCATACATGGAGGGATGGGGAGCAGCTAGGCCAAGCAGAAGGAATCTGCAAATGACCAAAGCTGAAGCTCTCTGATCTTTCCTTACGTTTATCCCCTGAGATCCAAGGAAGTTTTGGGTGAGAGGAGGCTGGGAAAATTTCTTTGCATTTTTCCTCTTTGATTTAGCAATCTGCAGGGGATTAAGGAGGCAGGCAGGGTTGTGCTGCAGATGGACAGAGTCTCTCCCCTCTTTGCATGCAGCACCTCCATTTCCTTAGCTGTGAAATGGGGAGGGTGACTGGGAGGGTCTTTTGTAAGCTACTTTGTGTATTTATGGAAGGAAAATGCCTTGTGCTTCCAGAGGAGTGATAAGCCCAGGCTGCAACTCTGCACATCCTGATTTGAGTTTTGAATGCTAACTTTTAGGCCCGCAGATTCAGCTGAGATCCTTCTAATGACATTAGCAAGGTAAAATATTGTCCTTATCCAGATGAGAACAACATGGCATTCCCTGAGCTATTGTTCATTTTCAGGTATACAAATCCAGCAGCTTTGCATGAATCCGCTTCACGTGCAAAATGTAATTAGGGACAGGAAATGTTTTTGGATTATTTCATTTCCCTTCCTAGGGTTGAGATTTTGCAGTTTCGACACTTGCAGAAGTTAGAAGTGGAAAACAACTTGTAAGCCATGGAGCCCAGATCGTAACAACCCTACCTGTGATGTATAAAATGGTCCATTAAATGAGTATTGGCCAGGTTTTGGCCACTAAGCTATTTAGCATCTCCCTGTCTTTGTTTTCATTCTTCACCTTCCCAGGTATTCCAGGGCAAGCCCAATACTGTTCCTTTGTTTCATTTACATCCTTCTTTATTTTTAAAACAGAGGAGGGGAATTCCATAGTTCCTGGAAATATCTGGGTCTGCCTAAGCTTTCATCTACCTCCAGAATGAAGCAAGCTGCTGCAAATGTGTGTAGCATGGTTTTCTCTTTCATTTGTGTGTTGAATCCTGGCTTTTCGAACAACTTAAATGGGGAAAAACTCACAGTGCATCTCCTCCAGGTCCCACGTGTGATCTTGCTCTCTGAAATGGAAACATATCTTCTGAAACCAGAGATAATCAACAGGCAGAGGTGAAATCTGAATAGAGAAAGCAGGAAGTGCAGGAATGGGATATGTTGTTGAGCACTAGGTTACCTTTGCTGCGAGTTTGTTCCCGTCTAGGACGTGCAGAGCAGAAGCACGATGGTCTTGGGTCTCTGGAGTGGTTAATCGTGGCAGCTTCCTTGTTTCAGTGCTTACACAGAGACACCCTGTCAAGGCCTCTTTTGAAGATGGTGGTTGCTCAGAGTGTTTTGAGTTATCAGGATGTCAAGACCCATCTGAAACACCCTGGCTAAGTCACTCAGCAAAGTAAGCCAGCTTGTGTCTGGCACTGCAATAGAATAACAGACCCCAAATGGGTTTATCTGTAATGGGTCATTCTTGACCTAGAGATGCTAAATGTGATCTGTTCAGATAATGTACCCTTGTGCTTACTGGAATGTTCTCCAAAACTGTATCACTACGGGCAGTGAAGTATAAAACAAATAGGGGATGATTTGTTTTAGAGAAAGCTACACTAGATGACATTGCTTCTCTTTTGAGGAATCACAGAGTTTGCACTACATGTGAGAAGGTGCAATTGTATTTTTTCATATCTAGCATAGAAGTGCAAGGCAGAAGCTAATAATGGTACCTCAGGCAGTAACCTGTGCTTGTGTCCTTGAGAAGAACCAAGGAACAGCAGGGCAAGTCACTGCAGGCTCTTCTGTCTAATGTTTGTTTTGAGGCAGATGATCTTGGGTCATTCTTGGGAAGATCTCGAATGTGCCTTTCTTTCCCTACTTTCCTTGACCCCAAGAGTACTGTGTGAAAGTAGCTGCAGGGAATGAGCCATGTGGGAGCTGAAAGCCCACGGTCTTTCTAAAAACATCTTTACACATTAACAGTAAAACTGATTCCCTCATCTATAAGTTCTGATGGAGGCTGCCTATCTACAAGTAACACCTTTCTACCAGTGGGGTTTTACAGATCCACTGCTCTGGAGGAATCGCATCTGGACCTGTCCCCTCAGTCACCACTTGCTGAGGTCTGTTCCTTAGCTAGTCACAGCCACAGGTGGAACTTCAGCACCCAGGGTTACTGTAGGGCCAGGGCTCTACTCTTACGAAGCGCTTAAGTAATGTGTCCTCTTCTCCACTGGCCAAAGTGAAGCAAGCTCTTTCTTTTCTCTGTGTACTGGTGGGTTCAGGTAGATGTCTGAAGATGCAAAGGTGTTCAGAGCAGAAGCAGCAAGACATAGATGATTTCTGAGGAGTACTTTTCCTCAAGCTGTTGATTTTAGTGTAATTTCTCCTAGATGTTGCAGGTACTGCCACATGCAACCATGCCTGGGATAGAGAAAAGGGACTGTAAGCAAAAGACAATCCTCCAGTGCAGCACTGGTATTAATGGTGAATTCCTCCATTTGTTTTTGCAGGTAGCAGTGGAAATGAAAGCAATTCTATTTATCATATTGTTCACAGACTCCACAAATGTAAGTACAAACACAGCTGAACACTGCGCTCTGTTTCACCATAGGTGAAAGTGTGAGTCTAATGATCAAATAAGCATTCATGTTGCGAGTGGTTTAAAACCAACCGAACAAGGAGCCTAGAGGAGACTTACATGTGCAACACTTTGTTGCTGGCTTTGCACAACATCAGGGTTCATTTGGATTTAGATCCTGTTGCACCGGGGCCAAAGTTGTCTCTGGAGAAGTGTGGGAGGGACAGAAGAGGAGAAAAGCTTTTAGCTCTGTCTATTGAGAACCCCCTGGGTAGCAATGTCAGAAACTCCTGCAGGACTGAGGTGTTGAAGTCCTATTATTAGGAGTATTGTGAGAGATTAGATCAGGCTTTAAAGCTTTCAGGAACCTGAAAACACAGGTAGGAACCCCGTGGGATCCAGGAAGTGTGTGCCTCAATCTGAGAGTTAATACTTAACTTACCGTAGGGGCATTAACAAAACCCACTGGACTTCTGCATGGATCTCCCTATGTCCCATGTCTTGGTATCACCTCATTTCAGAGGAACTGTGATTTGTAGATACTGAAGCCTGAGTTTAAGGTTCTCAATGGGTAATTTTGAATATATTATCCATTGCTTTAAAATCACAGAGAAAGTGATGAATACAGCACACAGTATTAGTGTCTGTTGGTGCCTCCTGGACTCGTTTCTGTGTTCAAAAAGTTCAGGGATTCTTTGTCTGAGTTCAGTTTCAGCCACTTAAGAGACTGGAAAGTGCTGCAAACTTTAAGCTGAAGTTCAGTGCAGATTCTGCTCTCTGTAGTTGGGAGTTGCAACCTGGGCCAGAACTCAGCATTTGGATCCCCTTCCTTCCTCGGCAGACATGCAAAGAAATAGGATTTTCTGCATCACTATGCAAATTCCCCAGGGAAATGGGTGCCTTTCTGAATCGCCTCTGTGTTGCTGTTGGGGTTCAGGTGGTTGAAGAAATGAGCTTTGTGTTCACAAGGCAGCAGGGACTAGGGTTTCTCCAAAGTGCCTTTGTTTGGGTATATGTAAAGCTATCAATGCATCATTCTTTCTGCTTCAGCTGTTAGAGACTCCCATCTTCTCCATTGATTTTACCCAGAATGCTTACTGCCCTTGAAGGTGTGACCTGTACCTCAGGCTAATTTATTTCTGTCATGGCTGCAGCATATTTTAGAGGGCAGCGGGGGTAGGAGAGAGAACAATGAATTCAACATGGAATATAAATCCCAAGCCTGTAGCTTTCAGACATTCCACTGCATCCCCTGCTCCATCCTCTCATTTGGCATTCTGCATGGTCTTGGATTAAGAGGGGAAAAAGAAGGGGGGGAGGCATTTGTATAACTAATCAGGTGAGCCATTCTGGGGTAATCCCTTTGGTCACACATACTGGCATGTGTATTACCATTTTGCTAGGCTTCTAAAGCATTTCCAATGACGTCCTAGTTTATGAGCCTGAATGAAAAGTCTCACCTTGATGGCCTAGAAGTGTTCTGGATCTGAGCACAGCTGCTTTAATCTGTTGAAATTTGTGTCGTGGAATGTGGATAGACAAAGACTTAGGGTTTGTGCTGAAAGCTCATTTTGGACCATAACGGTGGTGGGGCTGATGGATTCCCTTTTTTGCGTGTGTATTTTATTTTGCATCGTATTGCATGTTCTTTCCTCTTTGGTTTTTATAGACAATAACGTGAAACTGAAATGATGTGTCAGCACAAATACTAAGCTTCAGCACTGGGCCCTTTTCATTATTCTATTGAAATAAGTGGGGTGTATTCTCGTGACCTGCTTGTGTAGCTGAAGTCTTCCCTGCCCCATATGGTTCATCAGTAGCATAGGATTTCTTTAGGGCAAACATGTTGCTCCCAGTTCCCCCCACAGAAAGGCTGAGCACTGTGTATTCAGTGGGTTGTGGGGAAATCTGTTGGAAAACCCTGGGCTTAGCACCACGTCCTCGGGATGCATGCGAGCCCTGGGATACACTGTGCAATGTTTTACAGACCCACCTCTTCCCACCTTGGATTTGTGAACGATAGCCAATGAGTCCCGTGAAACTGGAAGCACCAAGAGGCGAACCCTGGCTCTCCAATATGATGCTACTGAATGGTTTCATAGACTGACTGTTTGGAGTCTGCAATTCAGACCAAAGTTTGGGGTTCAGGTCCGAGTTGATTTTGTTCTCTTGCAGAGGAGAGGCAGCTTTAAGGAGCTATATCAGAACACGAGCTTCACATAAAGCACAGTTACTGCCTTCCTAGGAAATTTAGGGCTCATACTTCAGCGCTTTTGACGCAGGAGTACCTGGCCCGGGGTTGCTGCTGTGGGTCAGGGCAGTGAGGCCAGCTGGGTAGGTCAGGCTTCAGAGGAATGCAGAGGGCTCTGGAGTTGAAGTGTATGAGATTTCCAGGTGATTTGCTGGGAGCTGCTGCCACAGAAAGCTCTAAATTAGCCTGGGATGGCTGAATGCAGTGAAACTTACACCGGTCTGGCCCGAATTCAAAGCTTATAGTTAAGTCTTGTTACTTGCTGTGTGATTTGGGTTCTAAGTGGGTCCATGTCACACAGCCATAAATGTTGTTCTTCCCCCAAATGTTTTCTGCACTGAATCACTCGGAAGCATTTCTGTAGCACCTACTGCTGTAGAGCCAAGAAGAACTGGGACAGGAGGTATCAATTCAAAGGAGAGCTGTGAATATAAAGAAGGTTTATGATTTGTGCAGGGGGCAGAGGGATGCTGTGCCATAGGAAATGAAATGATCCTTTGGCATAAAGTGTATCTTTTCGCACCTCCGCTTCTTGCACTGTGGCAAACACGTATATATATATGACCTCCGCCAACGTGCTGGTTATTACTCACGGAACAAAGCAGCCAGGGCTGGGCATTCAAGCATGGAGCCTCCTTGTATCTTGGCATCTTTGTGTTTATAGGTCTCACTCTTTTTACTTTGCCCCTAATAGCAATAAAATAAAACAAGATCCGGTCTTTTCATAGCATCGCCACTCTCCTAAAACAGAGGGAGGGAGGAAAAGAAAGGCAGTTCCAGCACAGAAGAGACCCTGTGCTCCTATAAATGATTTTTTGGGCCTCCAAGATAAAACTGGGAGAGAAAGGGGAAAAATACAAGTGCTTAACTGCAGTATGGTGCATCCATCCTGTGACTGAGCACAATACCTTGGGGTCTGATTTCTTAATAGCCCAGGGTGCCTGATCCATACTGGTTTGTCACCAGTGGAATAAGGAAAGGAAAATCAGATGCTGGGTGGGAAGATGACTATGGTTTTTGGTTCACTATGAGCCTGTGATGTGCTGGCATCATTTTGGAGTCTGTCACCAGGCAGTGATGAAGCTCTGCTTGCTGTCTTCTCTGATCCACTGGTGTTGGCAGTGCCTTCCTGAGGAGCTGCTTTGCAGTAGGAATTCTCCTCCTCTGGTTTTAGAAACCCCTCAGACCATCAGCACTGAAGCCATGTATGAATCCAGTTCATTTCCTTCATGTCTGCTTGCTGCTCTAGAGGTCTTGTGATATTTCACCCTTTAATATCTGTCCTAAAAGGGTATTTGTGTGCCCAGTTTAACCCCAGAGGCAGCCTCTTGTCAGAAATGAGTCCCAGGGCTAATGGCAGAAATAGAGAGGACAAGCATGTCAAAGAAATACTGCAGATAAGATGCATAAGGTGTAGTGGGAGATTTTAGGAGTGAAAAGCATCCCAGAAATGCAACTTGGTGGTTATTATTTAATATCTTAGAAACCAAAAACATCAGTCAAATTTTCCAGCGTGCAAATGAAGGAAAAGTACCTAAAGCTGTGTCAGCGAGAGATGCTTTGCAACATAATTTTATATATGAGAAGACCTCTCATATGCTTCCCAGATGTACAATCCCATATGTCTGTTCTGTTAGGCTGATTACGGAATACATTCATTTATAGCTGAGAGCAAAGGGAGAATTGATTTCTTTCTAGCGTGGTGTGGATATCACTGTGTTCAAGATAATTAAACATTAGAACTGCAACACTCACACACAGGTCCGCCCTGGTGTTTTGGTGTGGGAGACCATGGATGGAGCTATTGGTGTTAGTAGTGCATATGTGAGAATGTGTTGCTTGTGATGCTATGCAGCTTAAGGTTTTCATTTGTCATACCTGATGCTGCAGGTATGTGTGCGAGTAACTTGACTCACAAGAGTAGTCCAAAGAGGATACTTACTGCTTACGTGCAGGAGCTGTATGGATCTGAATCCCAGCAGATCCTGGCCTAAGTGTAATATGACTTGTGTGTTTAATACAGTTGCTCCGGAGAGCTCACTGTTTGAACTGACAAGACAAAGGGAGTATTATTACACATTTAGATGTAAAGAACTGTGGGCTTGTCTACCCTGGAACAGTCAGAAGTTAATTCGTATTAAACTAATGATGCATACATAAAATGCATTAGTTAAACTGCACTGAACCCCTTTGTGGTCACTCTTGTTCCTGGTGAAAGTGTTTTCCTTTCATTTAAACTTGATTCGCTTCCAAACTAAATTTAGTGCAACCTCATTAAAGCCACTTTGGTTGTGAAGTAAAAAGCCTATACAGGGATTTAAATGGTGCTCAAGTAACTTACCTCAAAAATTGATATGATTTCAGGTTTTTTGAGTGCTCTGCTATATGTTACACGCTTTGTCCAAACTCCACTTTGTATACTATCACTTGCTTCTAGTAGTAGTTGGATTTTTTGTCTTTCAGACTAAGCTTCAAGATAAGGTGCTAATTTCAGCTTTCATAAAATAAAGGCATGATTTGGTGCAGAGAAGACCTTTGGGAATATTAACCCCAAGGGTGTCAATATCTGAATTCAAGTAATTTGAGACTAATTTTAAGAGTGTACTTGCTTTTGGATGTTGGTTTTTGTAAGCGCTGAAGATTGTTCAGTACCCCGGAGGGAGTGATGGATATTGGATTTTACTCAGTATCCTAACTGGAAATCTAATCTCTGTAAACTCGAGCTTGTGGCTTACCAC